ATGATCTGATTAGTCGACTAATCGCAAAAATAATCGGTGACTAGTCGACTATCAAAATAATTATTTGTGGCAGCCCTACTCTGAATATGACTTCTCTGGAGCAGGTTATGCATTAGCGTTAGTCAGTTTAGTGTTAGATAGGCAGCTTTAACTCTAAATATACCCATTAACACATTAGTCTCGCTACACAGTGCACCTCACTACATCTCTCTGCTGTTTTATCGGTCAAGCTTGTTTTGATGTGAGCAGATATCAGCTGTAGCGATGACTCACCAGACAAAACAGTCAGCAGAGACTCGTTCTTGACCAGAACCTTCTGTTTCTGAACATCCCTGCAGAAAGAAAAAATGAATTATTACAAAGAGCAAAGATTTTAGAATAAAGACAAATATTCTTTAAATACTACCAGCATAAATTAATGCACTTTCTAAATGTGTAGGCATCTCTGGAAAACTAGTTTTACCTCAGAGATCAAAGATAAAAAATGCAACAAAAGCTCCCAAGCAATTCAAATCAAACAGAGCAGCTGAACACTGACCACACGGACAAAGTCGCTCCAGCGGTCAGAACCATGACGTAGTGGGCAGAGCAGTGTAAGGCAGACGCAGGCGTGCCTAGCTGAATGGCAGGAAGGAGTCGCCGCCCACAGGAAGAGAAGACTGACAACATCCTGTCCTCACAGGCGACTGCAAGGATGTCACTGAGGGAGTGGAGGAGAATTAGGAAGACCAGATTTCGTGCTGTTAATTCATTTCTTTCACATTTTCTGTCTTCGGTAGACCTGCTGATGTTTTCATTTCAATAACCATGTGGCCTAAATTAAAATCAGTAGCACTGTGTGGGAACATCCTCCCCTTTTCAGTGATACCTCGAAGCCTTTCCCTCCTCCAACTGGGATTTTAGAGGATGACTGCACACATAAAAATATTCTGCATGTAATTTAGACAATGAATCTGCATTACTTTACTTAAATGTCTATTTTATCTTTAGTCCCTGACCTTTTAAGTTCTGAAGCTACTAGTTTTTTTCCAAGTCACATCAAAAAGTGAAAGTAAATCAATTCAAGTATAAACAGAGATTCTATGTCTGTATGAAAACTCAGCAGCGCCTCCTACCTGCTGCCTGCAGCAACGACCACAGAGCTGGGCAGGAGCGTGTTCCAGTCACGTCCGTCTCTGGAGCATCGCAGCTGGCTGAGCTTCGAACCTGCAACCATGGACACCTCATTCTCCACCTCCAGGAACACTGAGGGCTCCATGCTCACCTGAATTGAATTTGAATTAAATCTTTATTTTGAACATGTTAAAAAAGTACAACAACATAGAAATCAAAAGAGACAAAGGAAAACAAGCGACCATAAATACAAAAACAAAAAAACAACAACAACAACTTTCATGTTCAAAAACGAGCAGGAAGAAGCATGAGCTGCACAACAGACACTCTCGATAATGTATGGAGCATCGCCTTCATCAATTACAAACCCACCAAAGCTGATGTTTCAAGACAAGAGAGAAGACGACACTGCTCCAACAGAAAAGGCAGAATTTCTAACTGAAGAAACTGAAACGATAAGTGTCCAAGGAGGAAGCCAGAGAAGGCTTTCTAAAGTGCTGATGGCTGTTTATTAATAGATATAAACAAAACAAACAAACAGGCTTGAACTAAAATAAGAATTTCTACCTCTGAGACGTGGGCTTAAGAAAAAAAAGCTACAAAATGAGTAGCCACACAGTGGAAAAACACTGAAAAGAAGAAAAAGACAAAAAAAAAGCAGGCAGAGAACAAGGACGACCTTAGCGAGAAGAACAAGAGAACAAACTTAGCAAAGAAATAAAGAAAGACCCAAAGCCAAACCGTACAGCTTGTGAGAGATCAGACGGGGGATGCAAACAGATATAATTTGAGGTGAAAAACTGTCAATTAAGGTGGTTCTAAAAGTACAATACATCTTCCAGCTGGATTAAACACACTAAACACTTAAAGTCCAAACCAAAGAGATGACAGACGGGGTGTTACCTGCAGACTGAAGGCCTTCTGTGTACTTGGTGTTGGTAGTTTGAGAACAGCGACAGGAGCTGGAGGAGCTACAACCCTGCTGGGCTCCCGTTCCACGGGAGGAGTTATCTGCTATGACGAGATAAGTAGAAAAGCACACTTGGTTAATCTATTTTAGCTGCACCCAAAGAGCTTAAAATAACAGATTTTCAGGCTTCAGATCCATCCACATGTCCCTCTACCTGAGTGAAAGGTTGGGCCATGGAAGCAGCCATCTTGTCTTTCCTGGGCCGTCCCTTCCTCCTCTTCTCCAACACCTCTCCTCCATCCAGCAGCAGCTCTGGTTTCCTCTTGCCAAATGTCAAGTTCTTGTTGATGGCAGCCATCTTATCCTCGCTGTCACTGCTGGTCTCTTCTTTGGTTTTTGCCTCCTTCTGGGCGGTGACGCCGTCTTTCGGCCTGCTGCTAGAACAGGACATCAGATATGTCTCTGTGTTCTGTTTTTGTGTTTGATGTTCTTCACTTGCACAGTTACTCACCTGTCTAACGGTGTGAGTCCAGCTGTGGACGAAATGGCGGCCGTCACGCCTGGTGTGGCCTTTGACCTCTCTGTAAACCTGGAGTCCAAAGCTTTCATTGGCTCAATCTTGGAGGCAGAGGTGAGCAGCAGACTGGACTTGACACTAGGAAGAAGATAATGAGAAAGACAAGTGAAGGCGGGAATGAGAAAACCAAGCGCCATGTAAGCGACTGAGAAGAGGAAGTGGGAGGTTTAGGAATTTAAAGTATAAAAAAGACAACACAGAGAGGGTAAAACGGAAAACAACAGCAAAAATTCCCTATCTGTGATCTCCATACCCATCATTGTTGTCCTCCATTGGCTTAGCAGTGTTGTTGGGAGGAGGTGAGGTAAGCATGGGGTCGTGTGTGGGCTTAAGCCCCATAGAAGAGGCCTGTCCTGGGCTGGAGTCGGAGCTGAGCTGGGGGGTGAGCTGGCTGGACATGGATGAGCCCGAGGGCAGGATGGGAACACTGTTGAACAAAGCCGGAGAGAAATCCCTGCAGAGAGAAAAGGGCCTGTGATCTTCTACTCTTCATCTGGTTAACATTATTATTACTTTTATACAACAACAACTAACTTTAACCATCACTTTTTCTACATTGCATTAGCTCTGTGGACCAGAATCATCTTCACTTTGCACCACGTGGCTTCGATGTTGTTAAAACACGCAACAATAGCCCCCTGTTTCAACTGTTAATTCAATCTAGATCTGGTTCAGACTGAGAGGAGTCTTTGAGCTTGCGTGGATTCAAAACCAAAGATTTGACACTTCAAGCTCTTCTCTTATTGTGTTGCTGCAGCTTTGATGGCACAGAAGATACCTGTAATCGGTCCAGCCGCTATCTTTGGAGTCCAAACATGATCTACCAGCTATTTAGCTATAATTGTGAGATCAGCCATCTTGTTCACCGGAGTGCGTTTCATGCTTTCCTACCCCGTGTCCAGCTGAGCAATGCAGAGCGGTGTGATTCTTCTTCTGCCATCTGCTGTTCTCGTCTCCACCTGCTTCTTCAAAAGATTCTGCCAGATGAGAGAATAAAGCATCCAAGAAATTTAGGCTGCACAGATATAAAAAGGTTGTTTTGACAGCTTTGGAAAATTAAAAGTTTAAAACATTAATATATAT